GACGTAGCAGGTGGATTGTGGATTCCTAATTTACTCACTTTTAACTTTTATATATTCCAGGCATTTCAAATTCATTTGGATTTGGTGGGCACAACTCTGTGGTGGCGTTTTCTGCTTTCAAGCCTTGATCGTTCAAGATGATTCAGCCATTCTGCACTTGTTGTAGGATATAAATCTTACATATTGGATTTAGTAACTAATCGCAGATCAAGCTGCTTTATCTTCTTTCTCCAGTTGCTGCATATTTACCTCCAGGCATTTTTAGTAGTTATTAGTGATGTAATAATATTTGAGTTGAACTCTAGTTTTAAGAATTGTGAACTGTATTTTCATTTTTAAAAGCAGTGGGATATAGTGGGGTTATTGGGGCATGAAGTTTTGTCGGCTTTGAAGTAATGTTGTTGATAGAGGAAGGAAACTGCCGCAAGGCCTTTAATTTAACACCAGTCTTGTACTTGTGGAAACGAAGGCTTCTAAGCAATGTTTTAAAACCCAACCCGTTGTGAAACCCAGCAAAGCGTCTGGGTCCCGGGTTGACCGGTTTAATTGGTTTGACCAACGGTCAAACCGGTTGACAAAAAATGTTAAAGTTTGGCAAATATACCTCTAAAAATTACAGTAAATCCCTATAGGTTTGAAATTTATCAAACACACCCCAATTACAAATCGATCGGTGATTAATTAGCGGCGGCGACATCCTAGATGCAACCCCAATCGTCACTTGAGCCAATTTCCATCAAAATATACCCAAGATCTTGCCGAAATAGGTTTGATTTCAGTCAAATCTCATCGACGTCGATGTCGGCATTCCAAGTCAGATCCCATCGATTCCGGCAACAACAACCCTCCTCATCACCCTAGAATTACTCCCCTTTTCCTCCTGACCAAAACCCACCTCACCCCACCCCGGTTAGCCTCGTCAATCGTCGGAAAAGTCTCATTGTTGTCGCTGCTAGTTTTGTTCGATTTTTGGTCGATTTACTCACTGGAAATCAAATCTTTCACCACCATTACATTCATTGGAAATTTCTCTTCAAAAGCCACAACATTCCGATAGTTAATTGTTCGCCGATCATCACCGGAAATCCTAGGGTATTAGGTGAATAGGAAAAAATTAAACCCTGCCCATTGAAGCTTCTGGGTCCCGGTTCAACCGGCCGAGCCGGGTCGGGTTTTAAAACATTGCTTCTAAGGTCTCTTTGTTTGAATGAATTGATTTCTTATAATGCCATTTTAACCAATGTTTTAAAACCCGACCCGGCCTAACTGTTTCAATTGGGACCTGAGGCTTTCACGGGGTCGGATTACAAATTTTTCTATTCATTGAAAACTCTAGAAATTAGACATCGAGTAATTGAAGGTTGGGATGTTAAGGGTTTTTAAGAGGAAGGGTCGGTGAACATTGTTTTAAAACTCGAATCGGAGGGCAACCTGTTTTGTTGTCTGGGTCACGGGCCAACCGGTTGGACCGATGACGCCAGTGATAATTTTATTTTAAAAAATTATTATTAATCCCTCAAATTTTAATATATTACAAAAATTCCCTTAAAAAAGTTCAAATTAGTCCCTATAATTTTTATTTATTTAAAAAATGCCCTTAAAAATTTACCAATTAATCCCTAAACTTTTGCATATCTCCAAACACCTCTATAAAATTACAAATTAACCCTTATAATTTTGAAATATTACAAAACCCCCCTAAGACCTAAACCAGACCAGAGAAGCTGTCGGGTCTTGGTCGGTCCAATTTTTAAAATAGAGCCGATGAGTGGAATGGTGGTGATAGCGGTGATTTCCGGCAATGTTTTAAAACCTGGCCCGACCTGGTTGGTCCAACCAGGACCTGGCCACTGAGCCAGGTCGGATTAGCATAAAACCCAGATAATTGAATTCACCTGGTACGATCCAGAGTTGGACTGGAGATACTGTAGCAACCCGTCGGTCCAATCGGTTTTGGGAAAAAAATCGGGTCAACTCTAACCCCCTCCTAAATGTGATTTTTTTTTACATTTTTTTCTCAATTTTTCATTCTTTCAATCCCTAACCCATATTTGCCCTCTTCCATTAGTCTATTTCTTAATTTCTTCATCGATTTTTTCATTTCATCTCTTAATTTTTTCATTTCATCTCTTAATTTTTTCATTTCCACTTCAACGGCAACTTTGTTTCATCTTCGTTATCTTCATTTCATCTCATCTTCGACAGCAATTACTTTCAGGAGTGGTTCTCTCCCCCATAGAAGATGATTGTTCAAGTTAAACAAACAACACACATCAAAATAAAAAACACAAGAATAAGAAAAAGAAAAAGAGCAAATACCGAGATAAGAAAGCATGAAAAATGAGAAGAAAAAGACTTACTTGGACGATGAAGAGAGAGAGGAGGGAAGGGGGGGAGGTAGATGCAAAGTGGAGGGAGGTGGAAATGGCGTTACTATGAGAGTCTTGTCATCTCTCTGTCTCTCTCTCTTTGTTTCTTGGGGTGTTGTGGAAGTGTGTAGAGAAAGCTAATGATTTTTATTTTTTTTTACCTTTTTTTTTCTTTGTGATTTTTTGAGAATTTTTTTTTGGGGTGTCATCATGCTGATGTCAACATGATGACATCACCGGTTGAACCAATTGGTTAAACTGGTCGACTTGAGACCTGATCACTTTGCTGGGTTTCACCCCGAGTTGATTTTTAAAACATTGATTTTTGGTGAGTGAATGATTGGAAATCGCAAAACTATGTTGTTGGAAAAAGCTTACTATTGTCGACGATTGGTGAGGTAAACGGAGAGGTGAGATGTGTTTTGGTTAGGAGGCCAAGGGGAGTGTTTTTGTGATGATAGGGAGTGTTGTCGTTGTCGAAAACATGCCCTATTTGCCGACGCTGATGATGGTGTTTGGGGTGTTTTTACAGGATTTCAAACATATAGGGATTTATATGTAATTTTAGGGTTATTTTTGTTAGATTTCAAACATTTGAACATTGGTTTGACCCGTTGGTTAAAGTATTGGTCAACCTGGGATTTGGCCACTTTGTAAGGTTTCACTATGGTTGTTTTTTAAAACACTGATTTTAACATTAAATTGTCATTTTCTCTATCTTTTTTTTTTTTTTAATTGTATTCAGAAAAAAAGAAATATAAATTCATTTACAAATTTGGTTATAAAATCATTTAAAAATGTTTTCCCATGTTTATTTTTATGGAAAATATTATGTTCTATATATGAAAGACATTATAAGTTAAGGAAAATAATACAGCCACCGACGGTAGTGCATCGAATGACGTGACAAAATCCTGATCGTTGATTAATTTTAACTTAATATTAATCAACGGTCAGGAGTTTGCCACATTATTCGGTGCACTACCGTCGATGGCGGTAGCATTACTCATAAGTTAAATCTCAATATATTTTGAATGTAGTATCTTCTGCTTATAAATTATAACTGTTAACTCCAATTTCCAAGTACACAAATCGAAGAGAATGACAGAAAAGTCCCCAAACAGACAATTATATTACAACTGACTATCCTCGATTTCCCGCCAAGAGAGAGCCAATCTTTGGTCGTTTCCCGCCAAATCACAAAGCTAATGGCTAAGGTGAAAAAGCAAAAGACACATTAGCCCTCTTCTCTCTCACAACTTCGTTCTTTCTTCTCTCTGATCTGAGAGTCTCCGACGGAACCAGGAAACCCTACCCAACAAAAGATATGGATGTCAATCAACAAGAATTTCAGGAACGCAAGCGAGAATTTTACGATTTCTTGGAGCTAAGTGTACGTCTCCATTTCTTTTACTCTCTCTCTCTCTCTCTCTCTCTCTGTGTGTTTTTTTTTAATCGATTATGTATTTATGCGAATAAATTTTGTATTTGATTAGATTTACCAAGATGAGTTGAAGGCTATGATCAACCACAAACGCCGCCGCCTCATCGTCAACATCTCCGATCTCTACACTTTCCGTGAAGATTTGCCTCCCAGNTAATACTTTGATTTGTATTTATTGTAGTTGCATTCAAGTTGAGGTTACCGCTAGGTGTATTGGTTATTTTATCTTGTATTGTAGGGATACTTGAGAAATTACCCTCCATTTACAAACATATAAATGGAAAAAAAAAAATCAGCAATTTAAAGCAAAACCAATATGAAATAATATAAAACTATTACATTGCACACACATCCCTACGACCATAAAGCTAAGTTGGGTTGAACCAAATTCACTCAATACTAATTCAACTTTAAAACAAATTAAATCCCATAAATTTAACTGATACTGGTACCCAGCTCAGTTCATGCATTCATGTTAAGTTTCAATTACTAATCAAATATATTTAATTTTATACTTGTTGATGGGGGGAGTATATTATCATTTTAATTAAATAGAATTAAAATTAAGATGAAATATATAAATCAATGATTAGTACGGCTTTCAAGACACGGTTGGGGAGATATGCAAACACTAATCATTCACACAACACAATTGTAAGTGATTTTTTGGGTGACATCATGCTAACATGTGGAAGTTTTTTGAGAAATATTTGTTTTGCCATCATATTGATGACATCATTGATTGAATCAGTTAGTTAAACAGGTCGATTCGAGATCTGATCACTTTGTTAGGATTTATCCCAAGTTAGTTTTTAAAACATTAATTATATAGAATTAGGTATGATGTATATAAACTAGTTTGGAACTTGATAATATATATAAAAGACTCGGACTTTAAGAAACGTGGTGTATCATTTCACCCCCTGATTATGCCTAGAGGAGGAGGAGAGAATCCTTGGTGGGACCGGTTCAGTGACTTGCATATCTTGGAAAAATTGACTTGGATTGAAAAGTGTCGTGAGCATAGCTAGCAGCCACTAAGATGGTGGGGTAGAGTTTCTTGACATTTATCTAGTCCCTGCGGCTGCGATGTGCATAATTGACTTGGATTGAAAATTGCCGTGTAAGTTTTGCATCCTTGGAACTTTTTTGAATGTACTGATTTTTCTTATCAAACAGCTTCGTGTGGAAGCTAAATCCCTTCTATAAAAACCCATTTGCTCATGACCGCTGGAACCCAAGCTAGGAAGCAAATATACAAAAGATAGTTTCATTCGTACTATAACATGTTTTCTCTAACAAAAATGCCTTCCACAGCATCAGTTCTATCAGCCTACACCACTTTCGCCACATCCGCAANTTGACGGTTCCATTCCAGAGTCTGCAACACCGACAGACATGTCATTTTAGCCGTCGCATGTCCCGCACGGCGGCATGGGACAAATCCCTTAAACCCTAACAATAACTCGAGCCGCCATTCACGGCTCGAATCCGACGACGGCGTCGCGTCTCTGGTGAAACACGGGAGATCCAACGCCATCGCCCACCAACCAAACACAAAAAAGGGGGGAGAAGGAAGAAGACCTTACCTTTTAGGGGGCGTGACCAAGAGAAGACCTTGTTTCGGATATCTGAGAGGCGCCAATCGAAAACGGAGAACGTCTGGTTTGCAAAGATTTATCGCTCGAGGCAAAAGGGATTTTGGTGGCGTCATCTGAAAAACATGAGCTTTTATATGGACTGCGAATCGGCGGTTACCACCTCTCGGAACCGAAACGACAGCTCTCTCTCTCCCCGCATTAAATGCGCCCCATGTCGCATTAAATGCCATGATGAGGGTCGTCGTTTCAAATGCGTCGTGCAATTAATGCTGTCAAAACGACGCTGAGTCAGCGCATAACGCATTTAATGCGCCTGCCAGACGCTTTAACGCGTGCAGAGCGCCTGACAGCGTGGGAACTGACTCATTGAATCTCCAACCCTAAGGCACAGTAAGAAGCATCCGATGAATCCAGGTCGCTGGAGTGACGATTGTCAGGTCGTTTGGGCAGAATGTGAGGTTGTGTTCGCAAAAGGCCCTGTCCCGAGCTCCTTCCCCTTAGGTCGAAATTACTAGAACCCCCAGTCGCGGCATGACTTAGTTTCCAAGGTTCGACCCTCAAACCTTAAAAACTAGGGGACTTTTGTTATGCCTGGGAAGACAAGCGCTGAAGTGGAAAGTCACGTGATGAAGATTGACCTGCTCCCGTCAGAGCAATACGAGCACGTCAGGCCTGCCAAACGATACGGAGCTCCCACGTGTCCATTTTCCCTGCAATAAATCGTGTGAAATTAGCTTGGAAAGAGGGCAATGGGACGTAAAGCCGGATTATGTCCTGAGAATCACACTAACCCATGGATTTAATGATGATTACACGCCTTCAGTTTGATATAAAAAGAAGAAGACCCCTTCATTAAGGGGATTCGACCATTTTGACACTGAAAATCTCTCTCTTGTACCTTTTGATTTTACTTTTCACAACCACATGTAAGTCAGTCCGCTGTTGCGACCTGACCCACATCACTAATACAAATCAGTGGACGTAGGACTTGATACCTTAGCATCCGAACCACTTTAAAAGGCTTTTATTGCATTCATTCCATATTTTCTCGTTTGATAATCACGTGTGTCTCTTGACCAATCAACGTTATGCACGTGACGGCTAGTTGGTGTTAGAATCACACATCAACACCAAGAAAGGTGTTCTTGCTGGATTACATGCCGAGAAACCACCAAAAGAAGTCACTGTTGAGGTTTAAAAGGCTCTATCATCTTAGGAGTGTTTTTCATTNAAGGCCAACAAGAAATTCGAATGGACTCCCGAATGCGAACAGGCATTCCAGAGTATAAAAGAACACCTTGGGAAGCCACATCTCCTCTCTAAGCCTCTTCCACAGGAAATCCTGCTCATTTACCTGTCCGTATCTCCGTTCGCGGTCAGTGCAGCTTTGGTACAGGAAGAGGAAAAGGCGCAATGGCCAGTGTACTATGCGAGCAAGCACCTGTCGGATGCCGAGATGCGGTATCCGGAAATGGAGCGACTAGCCCTTGCTCTGCTGATTGCGTCCAGAAAGCTGCGACCTTACTTCCATGCCTATACAATCAACGTAATGACTAATTACCCCCTCATGCAGGTCCTCCAGAAACCAGAAGCCTCAGGTAAGCTGCTCAAATGGGCCATGGAATTGAGCCAGTTCGACCTGAAGTACAAGCCCAGATCGCCCATTAAAGGGCAAGCTGTTGCAGACTTCATCTCAGAATTTTCCTATCTCCCAAGCGAGCAACAACCTAGCGAAGTCGTGCAAGAAAGTATTCAAAACCTGTCGACCTGGAATCTCTACGTCGACGGGTCATCGAACAGGAAAAGAGCCGGTGCGGGTCTTCTCCTTGTAAGCCCCGATGGGGCTCGAATTCATGGTATTCTCCGTTTCGGGTTTAAGGCGACCAACAATGAGGCAGAGTATGAAGCTCTGCTCGCCGGGTTGCGACTCGCCGAAGAAATGAGTGCAACCGCGATCAGCATTTACAGCGACTTTATGCTGGTCGTCAACCAAATTCTAGAGGAATACCAAGCCAAGGAAGAGAACATGGTCCGCTACCTGAAAGAGGCTAAGGCTGCTCTAGGGTCGTTCAAACGCTTTGAAATCACTCAGATCCCCAGAGATAGCAATTCTATAGCGGACACCTTGGCAAAGATAACCTCGTCGTTGGACTTAGAGGCTCCAGACAACATTCCTGTTCGTTTCGTCGATGCTCCAACTATCAGCTCGACCGAACAGGCTATAAACGTGGCTCAACCAGATTCCTGGATGCCTCCCATTGTCCAGTACCTCAAGGATGGGACCTTGCCAAGCGACAAGGTTGAGGCAAGGGTCCTGCGAGCAAGATCTGCTCGTTACACACTCATCGGGGACCAGCTGTACAGGAGAGGATTCAGTGCCCCTCTCCTCCGATGTGTAACCAGTGAAGAAGCAGACTACATCATGAGGGAAATTCATGAAGGGATCTGCGGTAACCATACAGCTGCTCGATCTCTTGCGAACAAGGTTATTCGTCAAGGATATTATGGCCCCGGATCCAAGAAGATACGCANTTTTTTTTCTTTTTGATTTTTGGGGGAAAAATTTTGTTGGGTGTCATCATGCTGACATATGAAAGTGTGTAGAGAAAGTTAGCCATTTTTTTGTCTTTGAGTTTTTTGAGAATTTTTTTTTTGGGTGCCATTATATTGATGTCAACATGATGACAATTGAACCAACTAGTTAAACCGATTGATTCAAGACTCGGTTATTTTGTCAGGTTTCGTCCCGAGTCGGTTTTTAAAACAAGTGGGGTTGGATTAAAGCTGGCCGCCCAAAAACATGGGTCACGTGCAGACGTATTACTTGTTTAAATTATTAATATATTAAATAAAAAATTGTGGCTCCAAATTTCTCTATCTTTCGTAATCACTATCACTTCCATACACGTAAGGAAATTTTGTACAACTTATTTATTTTGTTTTGTAATAAGGATTTTAATAAAAGTGTGGTTTCTGGAAGCAATTATTAAAAAGCAGAAGGTGGAGAGGAAAGTAGGATACTTGAATTACTATATGAATACTAAAGTCAAACATTTTAACTCTTGTTTTTAGCTCATTTGCATCACAAACATATTAACCGCAAGATCATTATTTGATGCATTATCCACAGAAATAGTATATACTTTATTTTCAATTATCTATCTCATTAGACAATTAAAAATATCTTCCATAATCACAATACTAGTTCGAAGAGAAGGTAGACGAACAAAATTTAGAATACATTTATTCAGCCTCCAAGTACTATCTATCCAATACTCGGTCAATACCATATACTCTATCTTTTGATTCTCTGAATTCCATAAGTCTGTAGTCAAACTGATTTTTGTCACACTCTTCAACAAAGTCTTCAATTTGACATTTTCACTTGCATATACATTCATACAATATTTTTTACAAGTATAGCGGGAAACTGAAGTCCATCCGAGAATCTCATACTTCATCATATTGTTCAAACCCTCTTCCTCCACAACTGTAAATGGATGTTCATGCATGAACACTCAATGGGCGATCAATTCCCTTATTTTCAACATGTCAAATTTCCCACTTAAAACTGACAAAATAGTAGTTGTAACATCATTACTGACACTCGAAAAACTAATATATTGTTGCATCATGGAAGCTTTTCTCCTTAAACATTGGCTTAAATGTCTATTCAACTGAGTGGTGCTTCCGGTGGTATTAATACACAACTTTACTTTGCAATAAATACACTCTGCCTTTTTGATACCATTAGGGAGTACCACTTCCTTGAACTCCATCCATACCACTGATGTCTTCGCTCTTTTTTTCTTCTGAATTGGATTTTCATTTTCATCACCATTAGTCGGGCTACTAATACTTTGATCTGTATTTATTGTAGTTGCATTCAAGTTAAGATTACCGCTAGATGTATTGGTTATTGTATTTTGTATTGTAGGGATACTTGAGAAATTACCCTCCATTTACAAACATATAAATGGAAAAAAAAATCAAAAATTTAAAGCAAAACCAATATGAAATAATGTAAAACTATTACATTGCACACACATCCCTACGACCATAAAGCTAAGTTGGGTTGAACCAAATTCACTCGATACTAATTCAACTTTAAAACAAATTAAATCCCATAAATTTAACTGGTACCGGTACCCAGCTCAGTTCATGCATTCATGTTAAGTTTCAATTACTAATTAAATATATTTAATTTTATACTTGTTGATAGGGGGAGTATATTATCATTTTAATTAAATAGAATTAAAAATAAGATGAAACATATAAATCAATGATTAGTACAGCTTTCAAGACACGGTTTGGGAGATATACAAACATTAATCATTCACACAACACAATTGTAAGTGATTTTTCGGGTGTCATCATGTTGACATGTGAAAGTGTGTAAAGGAAATTAGCTATTTTTTTGTCTTTTTGAGTTTTTTGAGAAATTTTTTTTTTTTTTGGTCATTATATTAATATCAGCATGATGACATCATCGGTTAAACTAACTGATTAAACCGATTAATTTGGGATCTGGTCACTTTGTCAAGTTTACTTCAATCCAGTTTTTAAAACATTAGTTTTAAAAATTAGGTTAATGTTATAACATTTGGAACTTTGATTATTAAAAAATAATATATATAAAAGACTCGGACGTTTAAGAAATGTGGGTATCATTTCACCCCCTTTATGCCTAGAGGAGGAGAGAAACCTTGGTGGGACGGTTCAGTGACGTCATTCTTGGAAAAATTGACTT